TTCAGCTATTTAGTATATATATATTCATAGATAAAAATTTTATGAAGGAGAAAAACTAAAATGCGGCTGCGGCTATAATGAATGTACGTCATAAGTTTCCACCCTTGACAAATTGAAACAAATAATTCTCTATTTGTGTTTAACATAAGCTATAATTTTTTTGAAAAAAATAAAGATAATAACAGTTGAAAATAACTCCCAAGTAATCAAACTTTAGATATAAAAAATAATCTTAAGAGTAGTAATTAAGTAGAAAAATAATATGACTTTTCCTTAACCTCTATTCTACCACAATTTAGCATTTTAAGTATACCGATTTAATACTGTGAATTATTAAATATAATTTATCATGAAACATTAAAAATCAAATTGAAACGAAATAGAAGTAAATACTGCCCTGTAGATTCTTATAAATTTGCACGAAAACTCTTATCTATGAAAAATGAATGGTAAAACGTTGTTTGTTTCCCTAAAATTGAGATCGTTTCGTGTCAAGGTATATTTTCTTCGATTACAAGGAAACTTTTTGCATTGTAAACAGAACATCATCAATTAACTTGGTAATTATTAAATTTAAAGTTCATGAATATAATTGATGCAGCAATGATTTTTTTAAAGTGATCGTCGTGTATATAAGCGAAGCTCACTTTGAAAATTAATTCGTTCCAAGAATAAGAATATATTTTTCAAAAATGAAGTGTTCATTAGTTGCTGCTGTATTGGCTTTTGCCTTCATCATTAGCTGTGTTACCGCAAGTGATGATTGCTCTAATGTGTTAAGCAGCTATTTGAAGAAAAAGCTTGGTAAGATTTATTATTATAATTATTTAGTGCTTCAAATAGAATGGCTGTGAATTTACAACTTTTAAACTGTAATTAAATATTTATGAAATTCAAAACAGGGAATCAAGCAAGTTAGCTATCAGGTGCAGTATATTTTACTTCCAAAGGAGCCCATCGGCCCTAATGATGAAGCACTCTTTCAGTACAATCTGACTAGATCTTAATTCTGAAGATACAATGTAGATATTAAATATCTGTGGATAGGATTGCAATGATGGGTTTTTGTGGTATTCCTCTCAATGCCCAACAAGTTAATTCCACAGTCTCTATTCCCCATCAACAATCGAATTTTTTAAGCGGTTAGAACCGTTGACGCACGTAAAGAATTAAAAATGTTTAATTTGTTTAAACGTTAGGCGATATTTCCTCTTTCTTCTATTTTTATTTATCCAAACAAACGATTGAGTATTTAATAATTGTTTTTATATAAAAAGAAACAACTTTTATTTGAGATCATAAACATTGTCTAGCCCTTTGCTGGTTGTATTTCCTATTGTAACTTTATCACAACATTAAAATTAATTTAAAATATACTTTGCGTAGTTGAGAATTTGATTGGGGTAATTTACACGGACAACTCAAACCAAATCCAGCAAGAATGCTCACTAAGTTCCCGCAAACGATAAACTAAATATTATTATTAATCTGTTTTGATGTTGTAGTTTGTTTCTAGATGTTTCAACTGAAATCTTCAGAATATTGATCGAAAAAAAAAATTTTGTTAAGAACTACAACTTTAAGCAAATATAATGTTCAAAGAGTTGGCAGTCGCACATCATTTACCTTTTTCAAGTTAAAACTTTTACAAGCCTGCTGGTGGCTCTGTGTCTTTGAACTCGGTCAATATAAATATACAATTTTGAGTAGTAAACGTTTGAGTTCAATATGAAATAAACTTTCTGATCCGCAGTTTTTAATAGTTCACAAACACAAAATTGTTCTGGGAGGAATTTAATAAACTGAATGTAGATTAACAAACTGGGTGTGATTTAACAAACTCACGAATAATTGAACGAACTTCATCTTAAAGATGTTTGTGTGCTTATTCAACAAAACACCTTTGATTTAGCATAAATAAATTAAATACATTTTTTAATTTTTTTTATTGAGTATTTATCACTTAAAACATTATAAATAATAGTTGTCAATAGGATGAAAAGGAGAGGAGCATAGTACACGAAGCAGAATCTCAAACCTTGACAACTTCAGCTATTTAGTATGATATTTGAAAAATGAAGATCCGATTTTTAAAATTAATGTATTTTACTATTCATTTTCCTGATAAAAATTTCAATTTATTTACACTCATGTTGCCTGTTAATTATTTACTCAAAATATTTGTTTAAATACTTATAAAATTTGCTTATTTAAATACTTATAAATTAAGTATCATTTTTTTTAAACAAGGTGTCGCATAATATCTCTGATGGTTGGTTTAGCTCCATAAATTACATGAAATGCATACAAAAATAATTACAAATTGCTTTATAAGTAAAAAAACATTATATGCAATTTTTTTAAGTGATATTGCAAAGATAAATAGATAATCGTAGGATTTTAAATTTGATGGCAACAATCAGAAGTTAATGACCATTTTTCCTTCATGACCAAAGCTGCTGCAATGATTCTGCAATGACTAATTTGCTATTTGCAATTAAAACAATTCTACTCTAAATTATTTATTATGCTTTTGTGTCGCAAAGTTGCATATCTGCAGCAAACGGCCAGTACTATCTACCAGATAGTATTGAATCGTCCTTCAATACTATCTGGCCGTTTTGGCTGGATAGTATTGAAGGACGATTGAGCAATCCAATAGCATTTTTCTTGACACAGAATGTTCAACTTTTTTCTAATAAATGCGAGGTGATTTTAAGAAATAAAATTCAATTTGTTGCGTACAAAGTTACATATGTTTATTTCAGGAATATTACACAAATTGAAATTTTTGAATTGTAATGAATGAATTGATTTGAAATTTTTGAATATTTGAATCTTTATGTCCTTTTTCACAATGTTCCAGAAATGCAACTATCAATATTTTCTCATTTTGCGTAATGTTTCAGAAATACAACAAATCATTTTTTTTTTCAATTAAATTACAATTTTATAATGCAAATTATTATTATTTTTATGTGCTTAAAATAATGTATTCTAATGTATTAGAAATTTTTAGGAGGTATTGAGGGTTAAAGTTACATTGTAAAGAGTTAGTTACATTATTATTATTAATTCACGTTCTACTACCAAATGATTTACAACTTTAAAAAAAAGTAATTTTTGTTTTTTTCTGTTTTTAGCTTTATGTATGCTTACTAAATGTCAAGTACTGACAAAAAAAATGATAATGTAATGTTGAACAGCAACAATAATAATTTTTTACTTACTTAAAGTAACGAGTTATTTAACATTGTTTTATGTATTTATTTGTTATTTTAGAAGTAGCAGAAAGTGGACAAATAGAGTGCGCAACGAAGCTAAAAGTAAGTATTATGTTTTGAAAATTCTTTATGCCTCAAATTTGATTACATATATTTACTAGCTACATCCGGCGATTAGCTGGTCCGCCTTTTTAAATAAGTAAAATTTCAAGTACTTCGAGATTTAAAATCGTACAGACAAAAATCAAGCTATTATGTAAATATAATCAACTCACCTTGCTCAAGTAAGAAAAGAGTAGCAAAATAAAGAGTAAAGTAAAAGCAAAGCCAGTAATAATCGCTAACTTGGCGAGATTTATAAAAGTCGCCAAGAGATGTGCTACTCTAGGAATTTTACCAAAACTGTTTCTTCAGTACAGATTGAATCATTACATCGGTTATTAAGACCATTAACATCCATGACCAAAGAATGCAGATTTTTAACATCTCGATGTCTGGTCAAAAATATATTATGATATTTTTCTAATTAATCTAGTTTCTACATTGGTGTCAATAATTTTGGTACTAGCCGGGTTAACGCGAAAAGTCACCAAGCAATGTAAACCTCCATTAACTTAATTTTTCTACGATTTTTTAATTTTTATTTTATTTATTTTTTAAGCACTGAACAAAACAGACGTTAACAAAAAACTAAATCAATTAAAAGAGTAGAAAAAAATAATAAAGAAATAATTGATTTTTCTTGCATTCGGCTAATTGAAAAAAATATCTAACTTTGTTAAAACTATTCAGCAACATTCACAACCAGTTTCACCCGCGAATCAGATTCACCCGCGTAAAAATAATAAAGCTGTCTATTATCACTGGATAATAAAGATTTTACATATAATCTAATAGAGAGTCTGATAATCTGGCCATAGACTGTATATATAAAGAGTTGATGACTTTTAAATCATTTACATACATTTTTCATAACTATAACTTCTTATGATTATATTTATTTCTTTTACAGCTTGCACAGTACATGTGTGGAGGTGATCCAGAAAGAGCTAAAGTTACATTTGTAAGTAATAAAGAAATAATTTAATAATAATAAAGTAATAAAGAAATAATAAATTTTACGGTTATCATACTTGTAATGATTTAAAGTGGTTAGGGTTCTTTCAGAAATGTTAAGTTTTGTGTCATAATTTTTTAGTTAAGTTTTGTGTCATTACAATAATCCACTGTAGGTTATCAATGCAAGAAGTGCATCATGTACATACATGCACTTACCTTCATCATACTTGTAATAATTTAAATGTACTTTTCTTTCAGAACTGCTAAGTTTCTGTCTTAATTTTTTAAAGCAATTAAAAATTATATAAATTATTAAAATGATATAAATTTAAATTTGTTTCGACAATAATCAAATAAAAGACTAATAAATAATTAAAAAAAAATTTTTTTTGTGTATGGAATGGTCTTTGGAAGAAAAAAAAATTATAACTGGATATCAAAAATTTTAGATTCCCCGATATATAGGGAAACACACAAAAACTGAAATTAACATTCAGGGTCAAAACTTTTGATCACTCTTCTGCCCAAAATATTGCGACCATATTTCTTAAATTGAGATTGACCCATATTTCGATGGTCAAAAATCCAAATGAAGGAGACAAAAATATGTTAATAAAGAGAAGATACGTTTTTGTGTCTCCTTCTGTAACTCAATTAATAGAAAACATGAACTAATTAGCATATTTGAAATATTTCTTTTGAGCCTTTAGAATTGGTACTAAGTTTGTGAATGTGTGATCATTAAAACAAAAACGTTGTTTAATTTAATGTCTTTTTTCCCGCACTGTGTCTAGGATCTCAAAGTTGTGAATAATGTATAGGTAAAAGCATTAAGAAATAAATGTATGTGTTCGTTCACGCGTCAGACTTTGTTTACAACACCGTTCAAATTCTGAGAATTTGTGAATAAAATATGCACGATATTCAGTTCTGTAGAAAAATAGTGATTTCTCAATAATTATCAGTCTAGCTTTTTAGGCCATTATGACAATGAACTTTACATTCTGTTAGATTATATTAGTACTTTACTTACAAGACTTAGCTTTTACTCACAAGAGGTATTCAATATGTCCTAGTAAGTACGCAATAAAGCTTAAGAATTCACGTGTAAAATGAGCACAATATTCTGTACTATAGTCTATAACAGGGGTGGCCAATCTCTTTAATAGTCGAGCCATTTTTCAAAATTTGAAATTTTTAAGTAAATAAAAGTATTAAATAAAAGTACAAAATATGTGTATTGAATTTAAATATTAAAAATTGAACATTTATTTTACTTCTCTTGATAGTTCTTTAAAATTTGGTGAATAATTGGTGACAGCACTTCTCAGTAATTCTTTGAGATGCTGTTTAGTTAAGACTGATCGGTGTTTGAATTTCACGAATTTTAAAGGGGAATAAAATCATTCACATAAGTACGTTGTTCCGAATATTGAAATAATTCGACAAGCAGCCTTTTTTAATTCTGGATACTTCGATTCTGGTACAAATTTCCAAAATTCGGAACATACGGAACGATAATAATTTTTTAAAATATAATAGTACAAAAATGAAAAGGGAACTCGGGTGCATTTATCGAGAGCCGCAAATAATCCTTCAGCGAGCCGCAGGTTGGCCACCCCTGGTCTATAATAATCAGTCTACATAATTGGTCAGCATCTATGATCTAATTTTGTAATTCGGATACCTCAAAATCCATCATTAGTTACGTACATGCATCCTCTCAAGAAGTTCAAACATTTATTTATAAAATTTTATTGTAAATTTATGTCTTTTAAAATAAATTTAAAATTTATTTTCCATTCCATACTCATATTTCTACAGATTGATCATTTTGTTTCATTTACAGCCAAAATTGGTGGAATTTATAAAGTCGAAATCAGCTGATGAAAAACAGGAAATTGGCGTAAGTCATAATACATCTTCTTGTCTGCATACTGAATTTAGATATAGTGTAAAATCCCTATTTTAAACAGAATATGAGATTTCAATTCAAGCTGTTTCTCCTAAAGAATAATGCAGCGTTGTTCAATCGCTTGATGTGGAAGCTTAATAAGAATTTTTTGTGCGGTTCATATTATACTGAGCACAGGGGTTCGTTTCAATTGGAGATGCATAAAACAGACCTTAAGACTCCAAAACTTTATTATCAAAAACTTCCAGAAAATCCAGCTATTTCTTACACTCAGTTACAAATTAAATTGCTATTTAGTACATAAATCACAATCTAGTGACAAATCACTTTGAAACCTCAGACTGTTTAAGGAACTCATTAAGGACTCGCAAATCAGAACACAAGAAGACTAATAATCTCTCTTTTACTACTTCTGCGAGGCATACTCCTATTTGTACTGGCTTGGTGACGAACTTTCGATATGATTCTAGACCAGTGATTCTCAACCTTTTTTTTGTTGCGGCACACTTTTAACGATTGTAAAATTTGACGGCACACAATGAAAAAAATTAGATTAAAAGTTGTTTAATTACCTATTTTACACTGTGTTAAATAGTTTGTGATAATAATTTTGAATGTGAAATAAAATAATATGTACTACAAAAGCACATTTATAAACGGATTAATTATTTCTTTCGACTAATTTTTTATTAGTTAGTAACAGTTATTTAGTTTTTTGCTAGTTATTAATTGTTAGCTTGTTTTCTATAGTTATTAACTGTTAGTTTTTTTTTAACATTAACTATTATTTTTTGTGATTTCTTGTTAACTAGTTTTTTTGCTAATTATTAAATGTTAGCTTAATTTTTGTTAGTTATCCTTTGTTAATTTGTTTTTTATACATTTGTTTTTTAGTAATCCTTTGTTAATTTGTTTATAAATTGCATAACTTACTTCAATGAATGATTAGCTCTTACAGCATTTTTTAAAATTGTGTGTCATATGCAATTTAAATACTTCCATCTTATTTTAAGATTGTCAGAGACAAGACAATTGCCGACAAAGTTGTTTCCGTGGTTAAAGCGTGAAAAAATTATAAAAAGTATACATATACACTTTTCTTTAATTTAAACTTTACTCATAATAAAAAAAGCATTATAATTTTTATTGTATAATTTTTAATATTTGGCGGCACATTTTAACAATTTGGTGGCATGCAAAAGTGCCGCGGCACAGTGGTTGAGAATCACTGTTCTAGACAATTCTCGTATAACTCCATAAATATTAGTCTACCACTTGGAAAGCAGAATTATCAAGAACTATCATATCGTCGCCAAAATTATCTCCGATTTGGCATAAATGTCGATAAACTTAGCTTTCCATAAGAAATGCATTAAGAGTTATTTTCTCTCTGCATTACGTTAAAATCACGCGACTTTTTTGTAAATTTTCTAATTAAACTGTTCAGTTAGGGTCCGTTGAGATATTTAGCCTCATAACAAAAGAATAGATACAAAATTATACACCTATTTACAAATTCGTAACAATATTGTATCACCAAGTTAACTTAGGAAATAACTCTCTTTAATATTTCAAAATAGGTTTTAATCTACGGGGTGATTATAAAAAAACTTAACTGACATATGACCCTCCGGACAGAATACTGTTTGATGGAACCTAATGCCCTCTCACGGTTTCAGTTACAGTGTTCATAACTTTCAAAAACCCAGCATATTTCAAAATTTTCTACTCTTACTTTTTTGAACAAAGCGCAATCTTTACAGTAAAATACCTAGAATAGATTTATTCTCTGATGTACTTAAGATTTCTTTACTTGTTTGCAATAAAATAGACGTCATAAGGAAAAAAATTAACAGTACAAAATATTCAATAATACACACATGTTTAATTAAGTTTATAGTTCTTATGAATATTAAACAGCTGTTGGGGACGGAGAGCATAAATAACTCCGTTTTGGGAAAATAAAATTTAAAAATTTCTTTAGACAATGCATTTGCGATTCATCCATATGCTTTTGATTAAAGAGTTAGAGAAGAAATTACGAACCAAGGATATCATTCATTCGATTTCAGCTTATATATTACGAATAATTACTTTAAATACGTATATTGCCAAATTATGCAAAAATATATAAAATATCACTTTTAAAAATGTACTAGTAATATATATGATCTCATAAAAATAGCATAAATTTATAACAATACATTTAGAACGTGGATAATATTAGCTAACAATTATTAAAAAAGTTAAAATTTTTGAAGTTAAATTATTTAACTGAAAATAACAAAATCATAGCTACGTTTCAGTTAAAATTCCTACTACAATTGGATACTTACAGCTCAAGAAGAGGAATACATCTCATGGTTGTGCCTAATCACGTAGTTGTGCAAGGCTTGCTAAAGTTAAAGTTTTTAAGCTTCGTTTATTATCATGTTGAACCAATTCTAGGATCTGATTTAATAGGATACCAGCAAGTGATGTCACGCGTATGCGTCAAAACTGATTGGCTACTGAATCATGGCATAAGCAAATGCTACAATTTACCCACGCGTGACGTCTCTTGCAGGCATACAATTATGAAAAAGAGAGGAATTGCAAATTTTCAAAATAAGTTTTAAAGGCAGATTAATATGTTTCAGTATTTTAAGAGATGAAAGTATATGCAAACTTTTTTTTCAGTTGTGAACTTACTCGCTATTGTTTCATAAAAAGCAGTGAATTATTCTCTTTAATTGATTGTACTTAAAAATGCTGATGTTTTTTTTTCCCCATTAAAATGTAACTATGAGCTGCAATCAAAAATAATTTAGCTTTGAGATGGAATACAATTTTTATAAATCCTCCGGATCACTGGACTTGATATAAAAATTTCAAACAACTTAATTTCTTTTTTTTTTGAAAAACAGTTAATAACTAAAGGAGCTACTTATAAGCAGAATAAACTTTTAGTTATGGAGAGATTTAGCACTATTCCTTAGCATATTTCAGCTTCTGTAATAGCATATTTCAGTTTCGAATGTTCCATACAGTGCAATTACAACAGAACAATCTCAGTTTCAATAGGACATGAGCAGAACATACACCGAAGAGCCATTACATTATAACCACCCTGCTAATAACATGTAGGACCACCTTTAGCCCTCAAAACTGCTAGCACCCGCCGTGGCATTGATTCCACAAGGTGCTGATAGGTAGTCTGAGGTATCTGGTACCAAGCGCTCACCAACTGGTCCTGCAATTCCCTCACATTGCGAGG